CGGGCTCACTGTAAACAGTGTGGCTACAGGTTCTGATATAGGCACATTTAGTTCTGGCTCACTGTAATCAGTGCAGCTACATGTGACTGTTTAGGTCTGTTTTGTGTTTCACAGGTTGCAGGTTCGATTGTTTTCCCTGCAATCCAGAATTCTCTGGGTGGTTCTGGAACATAGGTGTGGAGTAAGGCAAATGGGCAGCATAAATATTTCTACTGTCTCAGTCAATCCCTGTGGGAGAGTGCACAGATGGTTGCTGGGAAGGTGTATAAATAATACGAGACCTGTAACAGAGGTGTCTTGTCCCTGAGGGGGAGACCAAAGCCTAAGGTAGTCGAATGGGCCTTAGGCAATTCCACCATTTGCTTCAGGTTCATCGAGACCTCAGCTGGGCTAGCTAAAGGGCCTAGTTGTTGAAAGTTGCTGGAGCTGACTAAGTAGGATTTAATTGAGAATAGTTTGGTAGCACTGGGAGAAAGTGTCTGGAAGATATTGGCAGGAGGCAACCAACTATCTCTATTTTCTAAAGATAAGGAGCTTGTGCTCCTGATGTGGCAGGAAAGGATCACCTGCAAGTGTCAGTTGATCTGAGCTCATTGCTCTCTACGTTGTGTTTATGGACTTTGGCTAGCAAAGCCAGAACCCACACCTCTTTGAGGGACTCAATTACTCTTTTCTATGTTTCTAAGTACTTCTGGCTAGGAAATGCATAGCCTAATTTGTACGTATGTAAATATTTAGATACAGTAGCTGTAACTAGATAGGATGTGTCTTTCTGCTATGTTTTCTGGGGCCCTGGAAGACTCTACATTATTATTATTATTATACAGTATTTATAAAGTGCCGATAGTTCGCTCAGCGCTGTACATTACAAAGGGGGACAGAACATGTGACAGAACAATACCAATACAATGCAAAACATGAGGGGATCGAGGGCCCTGCTCTTTCGAGCTTACAATCTAGGAGGGAGGGGATGGTGGCACAGGAGGAGATAGATGTGGGGGATGGGGTGGTAGGAAGAGTGGAGGAGGTTGGCAAGTTAGCAGGGGGTGGGGTAGGCTTCCCTGAAGAGGTGGGTTTTCAGGGTGCACCTAAAAGAGAGGAGAGTAGGTGATAATCTGATGGGTTGGGGCAGGGAGTTCCAGAGGATGGGTGACACCCTGGAGAAGTCCTGGCAAGATACATGCTTTGCTTTATATAGTTGCTTATATTATATCTGGGCCATTTGGTGGCATGGGTCTAGCTAAAAGTAGAATATAATTTCTAGGTATGAATGACTAATTGAGTAAGAGTGAACTATTTACTCTAAGGCCATGTTTTTCAAGCAGTGGGTTGCGATCCTAAAGTGGGTCGAGACCAGGGGCAGACTGGGCCGCGGGGCAAGTGCCCCCCCCCCATGCCTCTCTAATGCCCCAATAAAATGTCAGTTGCCCTGACAACATAACTTAATTCAAACCACTGGCCACACTAATATAAATGTTAAGCCGGCCAGGACCGCAACTACGGCCGGCCTTAATATTTGTATTATTGTGGCCAGCCGAAACAGAATGAACATTGAACACGACCTCAGCGTTGCTTTGTTTACCATCACCCCAGACTTTGGGACACTTATCAAGAGCAAGATGCACCCCCAGTTTTACTGTTAGTTCTAATTCATTTCATATGTTTCAATTACCATTTATTTTATTGGGTTTTTACCCCATTAGCACTTTCATTTTCACTAGTGCTGTGATTACTGCATTATCCATTTTGGAAGGAAGCCGTTGGTTTACTGTTTTGTGGAAAAAATTATATTGTTTTAAAAATGTTATTATTTTTGGGTTGCAACTTAATAACCAAGGACAAATGTGGGTCCGGAGGTTCCACAGGTTGAGAACCACTGCTCTAAGGTAAAAATTGTACATTTTTGCATGATGCAGCATTTAGGAAAGTAGACTGTTAGCCTTGTGATTCTGTGATTTTCTGGAGAGTTGTCCTCATGGGAATAATTCTTCAACCACTGCACTATTTGTAGGATGTATATATTAGCTTGGTAGGATCTATTTACTAACTGTTTTCTTTTAGGTGAAGAATGTGATACTTACCTTTGACTTTTTGAATGTAAATACGTGTGTGTTTAGATGGCAATAGGGATTTAGTTAGGATAATGCTGTAAATATTAGTGTAATCAGAATAGAAACCAGCGCAGTGCTAAAACATTACATAGTGTAAAACTGAAGAAATATTAAATAATAAATAAATCATTATTAGTGATATTATTAAATCAATAAATCAATATTAAGTAATAGTGATGACAAATATAAGTGGATGAAGCACTAAGATGGGCTCAATAAAGTAAGTGCAACTGTGAAAGTCTTACAACAAAAAGTGTTCATAAAGTAGTGAAGACTTGAAACAATCAGGTCAGCATACAGTGCTTCAAACGGGTCCTATTGCACAAGTGGTATCCAATAACTCTGTGTGGCTTTATCTGTGCGGAAGATTGAACAAAATGCACACTCACCAGATGCGCATAATTAAAGCGCAATATGTTGAACAAGAATATGCAAGAAGCCCCCTTTAAATGGACCTGACAGACAGCATGGAACCAGAATCCTTCTTCTGGATATAAACCTCCTATGCAGCCATGCTTCCACTGGGGTCCTGGGAATCATGTGGAAGCTACGGGGCAAATCCTCTGCATTGTTTAAAAAGGTTGTTTGTTCCTAATTGCTGTATTCCTCCCCTTGTTTAAGCGACCACCTCTTACCTCCTGATAACATAGATTGAATGGTAGGTGTTTTGCAAATGCTCAGTTTGGTGTGTATTGCTAGAGAGGTCTTTTTTTCTCTTGGGAGAGTGCATGTGATCAGCACAGGGCTGATCAGCTTGATGCGGCATTTAGAAAAGTAGGTTGTTAGCCTTGTGATTCTATGATTTTCTGGAGAGTTATCCTCATGGAAATAATTCTTCAACCACTGCACTATTTGTAGGATGCATATATTAGCTTCGTAGGATGTATTTACTAACTCTGTTTTCTTTTAGGTGAAGAATGTGATACTTACCTTTGACTTTTTGAATGTAAATAAGTGTGATTTAACTACCTTGACATCTTAATGCCTAGGCCAGTGTTGCTGCACACTGATGCCAGACTACTACTGAAGGAGTACGTATACATATTATGCACTAAGAGAAATTTTGTATTACAAATTTTGTACTGGGGATCAGGGGCGGACTGACAACTCATGGGGCCCCCGAGCAATATGGGATCATGGGGCCCCTGTGTCCTTGCCCAAACTCAAAAAAGCCTATGAAAAAGGTACCAGGGGCATCTCATGGGGCCCCCTACTGACCCCTGGATTCGGGCAGTGCCCGAGTTTCCAAATGGTCAGTCCACCCCTGCTGGGGATTGAAATTGTAACTACCTTGTTTATTGCCAATATGTGGATTGCCATGTGGTTTTTGTTAATTGTTAACCTCCCTTTACCCCCTCTGTTAGTGGAATACTCAGCTTTGTTTTTGAAGTGCACTTTTTGACAGGAGCTGTCCAGTTCAGGCCAATGAAGACATGGGCAATTTTTTTTTATTTTTGTTGGGAGGGTTGAATGTAGCACCCTACTAGATCAATGCTGTGTTAGGCCCCTTTCACACGGGGTCTTGTAGGTCCATTTTTCATTTGTCCATTTACGGACGAAAAACGGACACCCATGTATTTCTATGGACTGGAGGATGTAAATGGATGATCATCTGTTTACATCTGTTAATGTCCACATCTGTTAACATCCGTTTTTTTGAACAAAAAAGAAAACCCTGTTTTCTTCTGTTAAAAAAATGGAATGGATGAAAAACGGATGTAAAAGGATGTGAACTGATGAAAAACTGATGTAAACGGATGAAAAACTGATGTGAACTGATCTGTTTTTTCTTGGAAAAAACGTGACTGAACTGATGAAAAAAAACCAGAATGCCCGTATGAGAGGAGCCTTAGGTAAATTTTGTTATATACTGTAAATTTTCATGCCATAATTCTGGTTTGTATATGAATGTTATTGTTATAATCCTATACTGTGTATTACAGACTTCTTTGTACTGCGCTCCTGAGGAGGAAGGGCTATCAGCTGCAAAACGCGTTGAGTCCTGTAGTCTGTGAATTGATGTGGATAACACTACGAAGATTGTGGATAGGTTTAGTGTCTGCAAATATATGATACTTATCAGTATCATGCCGATAAAGTATGGGATTACAGTATAAACATTTATGAGATGAATTGTGTTGGTTTTTTTTGTAGTTTTCATTTTTTCTCATAATAGACTTTGTATGTTTTTTTGTTTTTAAGAAAAGAACCAAGTGTGTTTTGCAAGTTTCACTTATGATGCCCAAAAGCTCCATTGGTTCCCCACTGGTCTGTCTTTTATTTGAATAAGTAGTTGAGGACGTGGCACCTACATTATTATTACCCTGTAGGTTTGAGCTCTGTCATTTCAAAGCCATTGTTTCTAATTTTTAGTGACTCTTTAATGACTGGCATAGTACCGCTGGATTGGCGTAAGGCCAATGTGGTGCCAATATTTAAAAAGGGGTCAAAATCTTTACCAAGTAATTATAGACCTGTTAGTTAAACGTTTATAGTTGGGAAGTTACTGGAGAGTTTAATAAAAGACCACATAGATGAGTTCTATATTTTAAGCAACAGACAGCATGGATTCATGAAAGACAGAAGTTGTCAGATAAATCTTATTTCTTTTTATGAGGAGGTGAGCAAAACCTTGGACAGAGGGGTGGCGGTGGACGTGGTATACTTGGACATAAGGGTGGCTGTGGATGTGGTATACTTGGACAGAGGGGTGGCGGTGGATGTGGTATACTTGTACAGAGGGGTGGCGGTGGACGTGGTATACTTGGACATAAGGGTGGCTGTGGATGTGGTATACTTGGACAGAGGGGTGGCGGTGGATGTGGTATACTTGTACAGAGGGGTGGCGGTGGACGTGGTATACTTGGACAGAGGGGTGGCTGTGGATGTGGTATACTTGTACAGAGGAGTGGCTGTGAATGTGGTACTTGGACAGAGGGGTGGTGGTGGACGTGGTATACTTGGACAGAGGGGTGGCTGTTGATGTAGTATACTTGGACAGAGGGGTGGCTGTGGATGTAGTATACTTGGACAGGGGGGTGGCTGTGGATGTAGTATACTTGGACAGAGGGGTGGCGGTGGACGTGGTATACTTGGACAGAGGGGTGGCAGTGGATGTGGTATATTTGGACAGAGGGGGTGGCTGTGGATGTAATATACTTGGACAGAGGGGTGGCTGTGGATGTAATATACTTGGACAGAGGGGTGGCAGTGGACATGGTATACTTGGACAGAGGGGTGGCTGTGGATGTAGTATACTTGGACAGAGGGGTGGCAGTGGACATGGTATACTTGGACAGAGGGGTGGCTGTGGATGTAGTATACTTGGACAGAGGGGTGGCAGTGGACATGGTATACTTGGACAGAGGGGTGGCTGTGGATGTAGAATACTTGGACAGAGGGGTGGCAGTGGACATGGTATACTTGGACAGAGGGGTGGCTGTGGATGTAGTATACTTGGACAGAGGGGTGGCAGTGGACATGGTATACTTGGACAGAGGGGTGGCTGTGGATGTAGTATACTTGGACAGAGGGGTGGCAGTGGACATGGTATACTTGGACAGAGGGGTGGTTGTGGATGTAGTATACTTGGACAGAGGGGTGGCTGTGGATGTAGTATACTTGGACAGAGGGGTGGCTGTAGATGTGGTATACTTGGACAGAGGGGGTGGCTGTGGATGTAGTATACCTTGACAGAGGGTGTCAGGGATCTCAAGGTCCGCCTCAGCGCACGGGTCTGCGCATGCGCGGAATACCAATGCACACCAGCATGTGGGAGCTAGGACATAGGCGACCGCGGCAACAACAACGGTCGCGCATGCGCACTCGCTCACACGGACGTGCGCCTGGCACCAATGACAGCACAGGGCGCACTATTTAAACCGACCCCTTGCAATGCTCAAATTACCGTATGGTCTTGTTCCTGCTTGTTCTGTTCCTGAGATTGCCTTGTTGCCGACCTAGCCTGACCCTGATTGCTGTTGACTGTCTCCTGCCCTGACCCCTGGCTCGTCTTGACTTCTCTTCTACCTGTTCCTGATAACCTGACCTCCTGCTGCTGAACCTGGCCTGTGACCCAATTATTCTCTGCCTACCGCTCTGTACCGTTTCACCTCCACTGTTACCGACCCGGCCTGCCTGACTTCACTATCTCTCCACAGTGTCATCCATCCATCCATCCATCCAGCACAGATCCATCCGCTACTCCCCAGATCTGCTCCGCCTCTTCACAGCAGGCTCTTATCCGCTACGTACCACTGGCATTTACCTCTACCACAGCTGGGTGTACTCAGGGGCCGCGACCGGGTCTCAGCCTGCTCCAAGTCCATCCCCACCATCAGGGGCTCTGGTGAACAAGCAGACTGAGGCTTAGACTCCGCGCCCTGGGGAATCCCGGCCTGTGGATCTCTAGAGTTACCGCCAGTCGGTACCTGACAGAGGGGTGGCGGTGGATGTGGTATACTTGGACAGAGGGGTGGCGGTAGACGTGGTATACTTGGACAGAGGGGTTGGCGGTGGACGTGGTATACTTGTACAGAGGGGTGATGGTGGACGTGGTATACTTGGATTTTGCAAAAGCGTTTGACAGTTCCCCACACACTAATGTGTAAAGTAAAGTCTACAGAATTGGAAAAATCCGTATTTAAATGGATAGAAAACTGGCTAAAAGATTGTATTCAGAGAGTAGTGGTTAATGATTCATACTCTGAATGGTCTAGGATTGTCAGTGGTGTACCCCAAGGTTTAGTGTTGGGGCCCTCACATTTTAATATATTTATAAACAATATCGGGTCTGGGATTATAAATCCCATTTCAGTCTTTGCACCATACTGTGCCGTGGAATAATATCCTTACAGGATGTCTCCAACTTACAAGCCGACCTCAATGCTCTGTGTAATTGGGCAACTATGGGGCAAATGAGGTTTAATGTTGATAAATGTAAGGTTCTGCACTTGGGGGCTAAGAATATGCATGCATCATACATACTAGGGGGGTACAACTGGGGGGTCAATGGTGGAGAAGGATCTGGGGGTTCTGGTAGATAATAATAATGGCATGCAATGCCAAGCTGCGGCTTCTAAAGTGTGCAAAATCCTCTCTTGTATTAAAAGAGGTATAGACTCCAGAGAGAGATATCATTTCCTCCGATACAAATCATTAGTAAACCTCATCTGTTATATGCAGTTCAGTTTTGGGCACCAATTCACAACATTGGGGAACTGGAGAAAGTACAGAGAAGGGCAACCAAACTGATATGAGGCATGGAGGAGATCAGCTATGAGGAAAGATTAGAGGAACTGAATGTATTCTCTCTTGAGAATAGGAGATTAAGGGGGATATGATCACCATGTATAATACATAAGGGGGGATATGATCTCCATGTATAATACATAAGGGGGGATATGATCTCCATGTATAATACATAAGGGGGGATATGATCACCATGTATAATACATAAGGGGGGATATGATCTCCATGTATAATACATATGGGGGGGATATGATCTCCATGTATAATACATAAAGGGGGGGATATGATCTACATGTATAATACATAAGGGGGGATATGATCTCCATGTATAATACATAAGGGGGGATATGATCTCCATGTATAATACATAAGGGGGGATATGATCTCCATGTATAATACATAAGGGGGGATATGATCTCCATGTATAATACATATGGGGGGATATGATCTCCATGTATAATACATAAAGGGGGGGATATGATCTACATGTATAATACATAAGGGGTGATATGATCTCCATGTATAATACATAAGGGGGGGATATGATTTCCATGTATAATACATAAGGGGGGATATGATCTCCATGTATAATACATAAGGGGGGATATGATCTCCATGTATAATACATAGGGGGGGGATATGATCTCTATGTATAATACATAAGGGGGGATATAATCTCCATGCATAATACATAAGGGGGGGATATGATCTCCATGTATAATGCATTAGGGGGGATATGATCTCCATGTATAATACATAAGGGGGATATGAACTCCATGTATAATACATAAGGGGGGATATGATCTCCATGTATAATACATAAGGGGGGATATGATCTCCATGTATAATACATAAGGGGGGGGGGGGTATGATCTCCATGTATAATATATAAGGGGGGATATGATCCCCATGTATAATACATAAGGGGGGATATGATCTCCATGTATAATACATAAGGGGGATATGATCTCTGTATAATACATAAGGGGGGGGGGGATATGATCTCCATGTATAATACATAAGGGGGGATATGATCTCCATGTACAATACATAAGGGGGATATGATCACCATGTATAATACATAAGGGGGGGGATATGATCTCCATGTATAATACATAAGGGGAATATGATCTCCATGTATAATACATAAGGGGGATATGATCTCCATGTATAATACATAAGGGGGGGGGGGATATGATCACCACATATAATACATAAGGGGGGATATGATTCCCATGTATAATACATAAGGGGGGATATGATCACCACATATAATACATAAGGGGGGATATGATCACCACATATAATACATAAGGGGGATATGATTCCCATGTATAATACATAAGGGGGGATATGATCTCCATGTATAATACATAAGGGGGGATATGATTCCCATGTATAATACATAAGGGGGGGGGATATGATCTCCATGTATAATACATAAGGGGAGATATGATCTCCATGTATAATACATAAAGGGAGAATATGATTCCCATGTATAATACATAAGGGGGGATATGATCTCCATGTATAATACATAAGGGGGGGTATGATCTCCATGTATAATACATAAGGGGGGATATGATCTACATGTATAATACATAAGGGGGGATATGATCACCACATATAATACATAAGGGGGATTTGATCACCACATATAATACATAAGGGGGGATATGATTCCCATGTATAATACATAAGGGGAGATATGATCTCCATGTATAATACATAAGGGGGGATATGATTTCCATGTATAATACATAAGGGGGGGATACGATATCCATGTGTAATACATAAGGGGGGATATGATCACCATGTATAATACATAAGGGGGATATGATCTCCATGTATAATACATAAGGGGGGATATGATCTCCATGTATAATACATAAGGGGGGGATATGATCTCCATGTATAATACATAAGGGGTATATTATCACCATGTATAATACATAAGGGGGGATATGATCACCATGTATAATACATAAGGGGGATATGATCTCCATGTATAATACATAAGGCGGGATATGATCTCCATGTATAATACATAAGGGGGGATATGATCTCCATGTATAATACATAAGGGGGATATGATCTCCATGTATAATACATAAGGGGGATATGATCTCCATGTATAATACATAAGGGGGGGGTGTGATCTCCATGTATAATACATAAGGGAGGATATGATTCCCATGTATAATACATAAGGGGGGATATGATCTCCGTGTATAATACATAAGGGGGGATATGATCACCATGTATTATACTTAAGGGGGGATATGATCTCCATGTATAATACATAAGGGTGGATATGATCTCCATGTATAAATACATCAGTGGTTCATATAGTGAACTCGGTGTAGAGTTAATCACCTTGAGGTCATCACAGAGGACAAGGGGGAGGAAAATTTAATCTCCAAACACGGAAAGTGAGAGCTGTGAAAATGTGGAATAAACTCCCTCAAGAGTTGGTTCTGGCCAGCTCAGTGGATTGCTGTAGGAAAGTTCTGGATTGTTTCTTGGATACACAGAATATAACTGGATATAACATTTATAGGTAAAGTAGATCCAGGGAATATCCGATTGCCTCTCGGGGGATCAGGAAGGAATTTTTTCCCTACAGGAGCAAATTGGATCATGCTTTGCTGGGTTTTTGCCTTCCTCTGGGTCAACTGTGGGTATAGGATTATAACAATTTTTTTTAATGGTTGAACTGGATGGACTTTTGTCTTTTTCAGCCAGACTAGCTACGTAACTATATATGTTTAAGAAAAATGCAATTTAATATGCTACTAAATCTCATTTACTGTCTGCTTTTTTTTGTAAACAAAGCAATCAGAGATTTTATTCAACATCCATATCAGACCCTTCTCCTAGGGTCTGGTAAAGATTGTAAGCAGGGATCCCAAACACAAAAAAAAAGTGGTGTTCCTCCTAAAAATCCATACCAGACCTATATCTTTAAGGAGGGTCTGGTACAGATTTTAAGGAGTGCCCCATTCCAAAAACACTAAAAAAACTATTTAGGGACCACCTCAAAACCCATAGCAGTTTGATACTGCCACTAAATGAATGAATTCTGCAGCAGCTGGAGGTTCGGTGGGCAGGTAAACTGACCATTTAGTTTGCCTGTTGGGCAAACTGCAGGCATGTAAATTTTGGGTAGAACTCTGCATAGCCATGAACTTAAATTACATCTAGGGTTGCCACCTCATCCATTTAAAACCGAACACATATTAATTACACAGGTTCTGTGGCTGATTAAGGTGGTAATTAAACTCACTGTAGGTCTTTATCTGCAATAAATTAGCCTCAGAACCTGTGTAATTAATGTGTTCGGTTTTAAAGGGATGAGGTGGCAACCTTAATCACATCCCTGTTGACCACCATTGCCATAACTCGTATAGTCAGGTTTTTCAGATAATAACTAGACATGTAATTAGTTTAATTACGAATCAAAATTCGGACAAACTTTTCATGATTGTGAGAATTAGATGCAGCTGAATGTCAGAATTGCAATCATAATGAATTTCAATGAATCTGAAGTGAATTATAATGGGAAAAAAAAATTCATTGGTTTCATTTGGATGGCCATGATGTGATACTTTTGGACTTTTGTTAACCTCCCTGGCGGTATGATTATTTCCGATTTTTTTGTGCTGAAAGCGGTACCATTTTTTTGCATGGAAATATGTAGTTTTTTATTGTAGGCTGTAATTTTTAGGAATAACTCACTGAAATCTGTCCGAACAAGAGTCTAGTAAACATTCCCAATATGATAAAATGTGAAACACGAAATCATAAATTATAATTTAATAATCATAAAAAATAATAATATAATAATAATACATTTAATGCAATAATATAATCAAACCAAAAAACACTGAAATTTGAAATATAGCGCCAAGTTCGCACATCGCTGAGCAAAGTCACAAAATCGTTTTCAGTGTCTGATGAGGAATTTCCCCCACGAATCATTATCACTCAATTCTGCAAGTGGTTCTGATTTACTATCGCTGTTCTCTAGCCGGTCTAAAACCGATTTTGACGTAAAGGGACGCTTTTTGGACGCCATGGACTTTTCTAAGTTTCCAGGCAGAAAGAACATTCAAAATGCAGGCAGGGCGCCGGACAAAGCAGTAGGGACAAAATATATGTGAAATGCATTGAAACAGCAATGACAGCAAAAATGACATTTTTTTAAAATTTCAAATTTCCCGCCGGAGAAATTCCGGCGCCCGTACGTCCCGATGTCACAGGGACCGGAACACAAGAGCCGGATGCCGGCATCGGCCGGAGGAGATGGTTGGGGAC